GATCACCCCATTACGTTTAGAGCTTATTTCTTAAATAGCTTTGAGAATGCATTGGGCCTAAATTGGGGGGGAGGGGGGGACAGGGGATTAAGAACATAACTTAAATGATCAAACCTAAAGGTTCGTGAAAAAGATTTTAAAATTATGTTTCTGAGAATCAACTTCTTAATGTCTGTGATTCATTTTCTGCTCTAAAAACTTCAATACCCAATGTTTGGGTTTTAAAGGCAATGGATTTGGCTACAGAAAAGAGTGGACTCTTTCTCCATTTGGTTTTGGTTTGCCTTTTGGTTATTTTTGTTTGTGTTTTCGAGTTGGTTTTATTACAATGCCTTGGCCAGGCCGTTCTCTCTCTTTCTGTCCAACTGTTTGGAGAGGCCAGAGTTATGAAGGGCTTTATTTTCGGTCTCCTCCACAGAGCTTTTCAAAGAAGGAAAAGAATCGGAGGGAGAAAGAAAAGGAACGGAAAACAGTACCAAGCCAGTGAACTCGCAACCAGAGAGAAACATTATGGACAAGCTGGGCTCCCAGACGAATCGTTTCACCCAGGCAGTTTTGCTCACTTCCTTCATCCTACACTGAATACTTCCTGGGCACTGGTCCTGAAGATGCCACAGTGGGACACAAGCCACAAACAAATAATCAGACAATAGCAGTCCACTGGGCCAGTGGCATGGCTGAGTCACCGCACGGCTTTAGTAGAGCTCAGAGGAACAGTTCGAACCTGGATGGGGACTAACAGGCCAGGGACAATTCAGAGGGGGGCTCTGGGGTTTGAGAATGAGGAGGGTCCCCGAAGGGAGAAGAGGCATTTCAGACAGGAAAAACAGCCAGTGAAAATGCACAGCATGTATTCAGAGACTTGAGAGAACATCCCATTAACGGTTAGGGAGGGTGGGGTCAGTCCCCAGAGATGATCCTGTAAAGCCTGTTAGCGCCGGAGTAGGAAGAGATTGGTACGTCAGGCTCAGGAGCTGGGCCTGAGGGGAGCTGGTAGCGGGGAGGTGAGCAGAAGGGAGCTTGGTGATTGGTGCGCCAAGTGGATTGGATCTAGCAGGGAAATTCCAGTGGCACTATCGGGGCGGTGAACAAGGAGAGGCAAAAGTTTGGAGGTTACAGCAATAATTAAAAGCTACACATAAGGAGTGCCTGAAACAAGGCAGCCCAACTTGCAGTAGGGGAGAGAGAGAGAGAGAGAGAGAGAGAGAGAGAGAGAGACACTTAGAAATGGAAACTGTTGAACTTCCTGGACACCTGGTGCCCAGTTCAAAGAAAGTGAGGGAGGAATCAAGGGAAATCTGGGTTTCTAGCTTGGGAAGCTGAGGAAGAATGAGGAAGAAAACTATGAGAAGAGTCTGGGTGACAGGAGGTTCCTGACAAGAACGGGGATTGATGAGAACTGAAAGGATAAAATGACATCTATCTTAAATATGTAAATCTATACTATAAGGTCATCTAGGACAAGCACATGCTTAATTCATTCAACAAACACAGAGCATGACCTCGTGCTGGGCAGGCTCTGGACTGGGGCTTGGGGATACGGTAGTGGAGAAAATAGCACCTGTCCTCATACAGCTTACGGTCCCCCGGAGACCACATGCTGAGGGTCAGTCCTGTGCTCCATGCTTGACTTGTAAGATCCCACCTACCCTCCTCATCACTTTAAGACATAGGTACTATTAACATCCCCATTTCATGGAAGGACAGACAGGCAGGGCGAGGTTAAGCAACTTGCCCAGCTAGAAAGCAGCAGAGCCAGGACACAAACCCAGGACACCTAGTGCTGCCACCCACTTTCTTAACCTCCACACAAGACTAGGGTTTAAGGAGCTGGAGTTTACAAGGGGAGGCAAGTGGGGGCTGAGGGAAGCCCCTCTCACAGTTATTCATCAGGAGGTATTTCATTTCAAAAACACAATTTGGATATTTAAAATTATCTCTTGTTTTCTCCTCATTAAAAGCATCTCCTTCCCCCTGGCCCCCAAAATAAAATAAAATAAAAGCAGCTCTTCCTAAATCCTGTGTAGCCAGGTGCCCAGATCCAGTGCCCAGTTCTGGTGCAGCCCTCACTGAGACCTTTATGCAGCTTCCTCCATCTATCACACCCCCTGCCTGGCTCCATATTAATCCCCCAGCACTAATGGTTTCCATCACACCTTCTGCCCACTAATGCAGTTTATACTGAAAAAAAAAATCTATAATTCCAAGGACGTTAATAATTAACTTCCATACCACAAAACTTGTAATATCAGTTTGCTTAAATAAAGTCACCAGTATTTAATTCTTCTTTACAGGGTGTCTTCTATTATTATTATTTTAGAGTACAATTTAGTCATCAAAGGTTTACTCATCCTCATGTTTATAAATTATATAGGGCAGGAACTTAACTCTTCTGGACCTACCTGTTCTGGAGAGAGGGAGGGTCATAACCCTGCTGTCACACCAGGCACTTGCCTTGAAAGGCGATGATTTGTGAACTCGAAGTTCCTTACCTCTTTTAGAAATCCGAGGTGAATCTAGAGATTTCCCTTTATGATGCAAGCAGAGGACTCACAGTTGCCTGCCACAAAGGAGGGCTGGCTTTCTTCCTCCAAAAGACCTATTGGGAAATTCAAGTTTGTCTTTTTAAATTGAGTTACAGAATCTTGTCTTGATTATATGACATAATAATAGTGGCTTTCCAATTCATCTGTGTAATATTGTTTTTTTCATTGTGGTGGTTACTTTTGTTAAAGGGCAAGGGCTACTGCCTTACTTAGAAAAATTAAAACAGAGAAAAACCGTAGGAACTGGCTACCTAAGTTGGAAACTCCAAGTCCCGACTTACATGTTTACCTCCTGAGGCTGATGGCTGCCAATCAAGGGCTCATCCAAGTTCACTGGGGTTTGGGAACCTTGGCCTTCATGGAAAAGGGGATAACTTTTCCAGCTACCCTGAAGTCCTAGCATCCCCAGAAATGTTTTGTCATCACAAAGAGGGGTGAGGGGGTAACAGGTGTGTTTCCTTTCCTGAGTCCTCCTTTTGAAAGGGTCAGTATCTTCAGAGTTAAAGTAACTGGCCTGCTCCTATGGGGTGGGGTTGAACCCCTCTAGGCCATGGGAGGGAGGGGCAGGATTTTCCTGTCAAAGCCAGGCCCGCCCGCCCCCCCTCGTCACCTTCAGACCTTCACAGCCCTTAGCCAGAGCCCAGTTAGGAGATGGAAGTCACCTTCCAGGGAGTCCGATTCTCCAGACCTAGGACCTAGCGTTGGCGGAAAGGGCCCGGTGAACTCGGGGAGAGACGCATTCCAAGAATGCTTCTGAGGTCGGTAAGGAGTGGGAACACCGGGGGTCACACCTACCCTGAGGAGACCTAATAGGGAACATAGTCTCAGGACTCAAACAGGTGACAAGGACTTACAGTAGCCGGCAGCTAGAGCTCAATGGAGGTGGGTGCACAGTCTGCCCAGGAATGGGGCTTCCACGCGTTTCCAAGCCCCCCCCCCCACACTTTTGCTTCCTGGGCCTACACCCGGCGGCCTGAGCGGCAGCGTTCCCAGTGGGGACTGTCAGTGGAAAGGGCGGGCGGAGCCCTCGGCGCGCCTGAATCCAAGCTAAACACCTCGCAGGCGGACGTTCAGCAAGCGATACCGAACACCACACTCACGTTTAAAAAAAAAAAAAGGCACTCTTTGCCGAGAAGATGAGGGCGAAAACATTTCCCGGCTGGAAAACTACTGATCACAAACTAAGGGGGGACTCGGGGTGAGGAGGCAGAGCTGTAAGCCCGAAATAACGATCGCCGTTTCCTCTTCTCTTCCCGGCGGACGGAGGCGGCAGCCGCCAGCTCGGTGTGCCCCGCTGGAGCCGGGGGTCCCTCCGCAGCGCTCCCCCTCCCGGCTCAGTGCCCGCAGGGAGGGGGACCGCTCGGAGCCCGAGCCAGGCGAGCGAGTTGCCGTTTGACCTTCATCTCGCCATTTCACCTCTTTGTGACTCAGTGTGCTCACCCATAAAGCGGAAAGGAGAGTGCGTGGCTTGTAAAGTGCTTTGAGATTCCCTGGTGGAAAGGTGTCTCACTCGCAGCCCCTCTGTCCGTCCCCACGCCAAAGCAAACCGTGAACCTTCCTCGCTCCTTTAAATGTCAAAACCTTTGCTCCTTTCCCCACTCCGGACTCTTCACGCCCTTCCCAGGAGAGGAACACCCCCCTCCATGACCACCACCACCATGACCACCACGACCACCACCATCACCCCAGTTCTCTCGGGCCCCTTGTCTTCGTTGCACGGTGCTGGGCACCCGCCTCCTCTCCGCACCCCCCAGCCCCCACCCGGCAGAAGAGCCCACGAAGAGCCGTGCGAGGCCAGGCCAAGCGCCCGCACCGGCGCTCGG